TTCTTGGTTACCCCAAGTATCGCAGCAGCGTTATTTAGCGGACAGGGTCGTTTTGTTGCTGCCCTTGTTAAGTCACTGTGAGTCAGAAATCCTTGCCGATCTACTGGGAACCACTCAGAGATCTACCAGGAGAAGCAGCAGATCGACCTTCTGCCCAAACCTGCCTTAGGAAGAGGGGGCTTAGCTGTGTATATATTTAGGGAAGAATGAATTCTGTTCAACCAACCCTCACCAGAAATCCCAAATATTGGCACACCAGGCAGGCAGAAAATCCTGAACAATCGCAGGTGGAAAACTGTTCAGATGAGACACAGAGAACTCCAAGAAGCTGCCATCTGGTTCAGTGTTGTCCACACTGGTTGGCAGCGGCTCTCCAGGGTTTCAGGCAAGGGGTCTCCTACCCCATCGGGGACTGAACGTGGGTCCTGGGACCTTCTGTAAGCAAAGCCTTCTCTCCGCCACTCAGCTACGGCCTTTGCCAGTTAAAAGAAATACAATGAGGTACCAGGTTTGTTTGCAAAGCATATTCATAATGACGAGGTGGAGACGGGTGGGAGACGATGATGTTCCCTTATAACGTTTAGTATTTCCGGAAAAAAACGACTGTGATCCCTGCACTTTGCAGCGCGCATGGAGACGGGGTTATTTCTTTGCAAACAGGCATAGGATTGGGACCAGCATGGCTGGTCTCCCAGTGATCCCAAATTTCGGGCACATATACTGCTGCAGGAAAGTAGTGTCGGGGTGGGAGGTGGGGGAGCGAATTTATTTGTGAACCAGGATTTTCAAACAAGCAACCCGGCCCTCCGCGGAACAAAACGGACCCTTCGCTTCTCACGTGTAAATGGGATTAACTGGCGTGGTGCAGTTTGAACCCGGGGTAGGTTAGTATGGCTTGAAGTCCATACTGCAGCTTTGACGCCTGCGTCAGCGCCTCTCCCGCTATATAAAGGGATTTTGAGAAGTTCCATTCCTTCCGGAACGCTTCCTTTTTTGGGGGGGGGGGGGGAGAAAAGATCTCCAAAAGGTCAACATGAAAAGATCGTCACGAAAACAGAATGGAAGCGATTCTGTCGATTTTTTAATTTTATTTTTATTTGTTCTCTTCGGGCCCCCCCTCCTAGAAAAATCCTCTTTTTTTGAGGAGGTAAAGGGAAACGAAAGGAATCCATATGAGCATTGGAATGCCCTTTTAGTGTGTGTGATTAAGGATAGTTTTGTGGGGGGAGTGAATATTTTGGCATCAAATTCTCGCAGTTCAAAAGCATTGTGCTTTAAGGAAAATGCAAACATATATATGAAGCATTCCACCGGAAACACTGTAATCTAGTGTGATTTATTCAGGAAAGTGCGTGTGGAACCCGTTGGAGCCTTCAGTGACGATGAGTAGCAAATAAGAAATTCGTGGGAAAATTTCCGTTTCCAGATTTTCTTAAGCGAGCCAGCAAGTGTTTAAAAACCAACAAACTTCTTAGCCTGGTCGTCGGGTGGTGGGGAAGGCAAACCCACGTTTTATAATAGCATTAGGATGGAATTGAAATGCAAAAGCTTCAACTTTAACCCGTAAAATATGGTGGGTGTTTTGGGACAGAGTGGCGGGGAGAATTAGGAGCAAAAGGATAGAATATGTATATATTTTTGGAGTAACATCTACAGTACAAAGCTGGGCAACGCAAAGCCGTGCAATTCTCAAAAGGGCCGCTAAGGGCCGCCCTTGCTCACCGCAGACCTGGCAGAGCAGCTGCCAATCAAAACAGCTTCGGATACTTCGAAATATATAACACTCCTAAAACAAAAAATCGTCATTCACCTTTTAAAACCGATGTTGGCAGGAAGGGTCCTAAAATTAAATGTCGCACATCTGTGCATTGCCAGCCTCCTTATATATTTAGCAGTTTTTGTCCTACTCCCATCAGATTCTCGATGGAATAAAATTTTAGGGGATATAAATGTAAGTGCATAGCTTTAATTAAATAGGCGAACTCTGTGAATATGCCGTGGGTTTCTGTTTTCACGTGTCTGAGTGTTTCACTGTGGGTGCATGCATTGGCGTCTGATTTATTTATTTATATATAAATATTATAAACGTCAGAGGAGAACTTGGAGAGTCGTGCTGCCATGTTTATTGCGTAGGCACCTCGTCCCACGATATTGCAAACTGATATACTCTCTAAAATATAGGAGGAAGAGCATTTTAAGCCAAAGAGTAAACATACAATACAAACAAAATATGCATTTATTGAACGCCCGTCTTTTCATACAATCTACAAGCAGAATTTTGCTTCGGTTAAAATACACCGGAAGGCTCACCTCTTTCCTGGGTTATCGATTTCGTCTTAGTGGATGAATGTTCCAGAAAACTGTAGAGGCGGGGAGCGTAAATGTTGTCTTTTTTAAAACAACAACAACAAAAATTACAAATTCACGAATTTATTCTGTTTAAATTATTTTTTGCTTGCAAAATCGGTGGTGCCTGGAGCGAAGCAACCGGATTCTCATGCCACCTCCGGTTACTTTTTTTCTTCGGCATCATTTTGCCTGGAAATAATGTATAAAAGAAAGGAAGGTGCGCTTTTAAAAACTGAAAATCTTCCGGCGTCACAATGGAATTTCCACTTCTTGCAGGAAACCGTTTAGATACTGACAATGTTCCAAATCTGCGGGGTGTGTAATCGTGCAGTTTCTCTTCATCCCCGCTCCTTAATATTTACCTTTTAAAAAAACAACCCCCTCCCCCCCAAAAAAAACCACACACACACAAGCCAGACTGTGCGGGGTTAGAATTTAGAAATGACCATCTCTAGGGATGTGTGCGTGCGTGTAAGAAAAACAAATTCGGTTTCTATCTCCATAAATCTCATAAGGTTCGCTCCAGAAATCCATTTCTTAAGTGAAATGCTATTAGAAGTAATTAATTAATTAATTAATTGGGAAATATTAATCGAGGTCGAACATTTAACCCCGAAGTAGTCACCACTAGGAAAATAATCTTCCAGGAAAAGGGAGATTTCTTTTTTCTTTCTTTCTTTCCCCCCCAGAACAAACAAGGCGGGCATGGGGGGGACGGACGACGAAGACGACACCCAGCCCTGGAGAGAAGTAAACAAGCATATTACCTTAACGTGATTGCAATAAACAGGCCAGACAATTGACAGAAAAGGGAATTTGTTTAACCTCTCCTGCCCTTTCTCATTGAAACAAACCGGTCCCTTTTTGTTCCCGGGCGGCTTCAGAGGGAAGAGAACAGAATCCGGAGGTCAGGGGTCAAGAGCTTCGCCCATTCTCCTTGCTTTTATTTCCCTGCCCTTTTTCACTCAGGGGATCATTTTAAAAAAAGGGGGGGTGAGGAAGGTCGCTTGATGACCCAGAAGTGTCCCTAGACATTCCATTACAGGATATGTGGATCTGGATAAGCCAAAGGATCCGATCTGTCAGGGGAGGGAGACCGAATATTACCTTTCTAGGTCGGGGGAAGGAGGCAAAGAGACCTCCCAGACCATGCTAGGATGTTGCTGGCGGTATATTATATTTGGCACCCAACTTCTCGAGCTCTTGATTTCATAGCTCCGAGCTTGGTTTAATTCTCTCGGTTGCAGCCCACGTCCGTTCCACCCAACTCTTCTAGAAGCCCTTTGGCAGGAGAAGCCGGGCAGGAAAGGTTTATGGAATAAAGGAAGATGAAGAAATGGGCCAGGGCAGGGCGCGATGGAAAAGCATTCCGGGCAAAATTGAGGTCTATGAAGTCTCATTGATTTCAGAGAGAGAGAGAGAGAGAGAGAGAGAGAGAGAGAGAGAGAGAGAGATCCGTTTCGACGATCACAAGCACCAGAGACAGTTTTGAACTTTGGGTTGGATCGAGTCCCAACGTTTCGGTTCTGTTCTGCTTCTTCTTGAGAGTATAGTACATAAAGCCAAGCTATTTGAGAACACTCAAAATACAACCCAAAATTTCAAACGGCGTTGTTCTGATGTTTCTTTAAATATATATATATAGAGAGAGAGAGAGAGCGCGCATGATACTTGCAAAACAGAACGGGAGAAGGGTGGGTTTTTTTGAGGGGGGGTTATATTAATAAAAGCGATAAGAAAAGCGATCACACATCCACAATGTGGATATTCAGTTGCTCTATTGCGTGTGCATGCGCATTGCAATTTTGTCCATTCCTAACGCGGAGACTACGTTCGGCTCCATTCGCGTCTTAGGGAGTTCACATGAACATTGCTTCGTCAAGTACTGGAAATCTATATTAGACAACTTTCCCTGGTTTGCAAGGAGGGGGTGTGTGTGTGTGTTAGGTGGGGAAGTGGCAGAGGCGAAAGGCTGGACTTTGACAGCTTCGTGTTGAAAAGTTGTTCCAGTGTAGAAACTGAAGTATTTTGATTGCAACAGCAACGGGATATTATAAACTGGCCTCTTACACCCGCACGTGTGTGCGTGTGATAGTCACTGTCCAAAATGCGGCGACTGTTGCTACACACGAGCACGTGCTTTCTCGCACACATTTACACAGGCGTGAGAAAAATAAAACCAATGATGTATCGTCACTGTCAGTCACTTAGTCACACGTACACGCCAACAGATAGATGCACACACACACAAACACACAGGCGTGTTATAAAAAAAAATAAAAACAATTATACGAATGTAAATCGACAGTCCCTGTAATACATACACACCAATAGGTGTGCCTCCTTCCATCCAAACTATTGGCGTGTTTATAAGGCAGGTTGTGTGTGTGTGTGTGTGTGTGTGTGTGTGTGTAACTTAGACCGACCTGTCTTTTTCTCCAGCCGTTTATCTCATCTGCCGTTCTTTATGGACACTGTTTTCACACAAACACACGCGAGCGCGAATAATGGAACTGGGTGCGTAAGGGAAACGGGGCTGAGTGAGGACGCAGACCTCAGATCAGAAAACTGCCCGTCGTCTCTCCCTTCCTCCGAACTGGGCTCCCCATCCGTTTATGGTGTGCACGCATCCCTTCCCCCGGTTCCGTCACCCCAGTCGTGAGGATAGTGTGCTCTGCCCGTGGGCAGAAATACCCAGATAGCGCGCAGCGCGGAGGGAGCCTGAGCCCGTGGGGAAACTCTGGACTACTGGAAAGGGGGAGCGGAGGTTAGGGGGCTGGCAGGGGGCTGTGGATTTCTTCGCGTTAGCAGCGCCCCAACCGGGACAGGCGACCGCGAGCTCCGGAAGGCGGCGGCGGCCACAGAAGAAGCCTCGCTCCGCATCTGGCTCCGCAATCCAGTCCAGCGGAGCGTGTGGACGCCGCCTCGCTCGCATTGCCAAAACTCGCTTGGCAGGGCTGGAATGAGAACGGGGGAGCTTTCTCGCGGTGGTTCTTCAGGCTAGGCTACTAGCAGGGCTGGAATACACCCCTCGATGGACGGAGACCCCCGCCTCTCTCTTCTCTCTCTCTCTCGGTGGGGCAAAGAGAGAAACCCCCATCTTTGAGAGTTTCCCCCACCTAGTTCCCCTCTTCGCCTTTCGCGACCCACGCCTCCTCTTCTTCCTGCCTTTTGGAGGACTTGGGATTCCTCTCCCTTTTCTCCTTCCAAACTTTCCCCCAAGTCTGCGGACCCTCCATCCTTGGACGCCAACTATCGCCCCTCTCCGCCCACCCCAAATATTTCAGCGATGTTCCCCATCACTCACCCAACCTCTGCCTCTCTTCCTTCCTCAGCACAAGTCTGTAAGTTATTTCTCTCCCCCATTTATTCTTATAAGAAAAGGAAAAAGAGCGAAGAGGCTTGTTATTATAGATATTCATATATTTATTAGGCGAGCATCGACAGCCAGGAGCCTCGGAGGAAAGGAGGCGCCGGGGGCTTTTTATAGGTGACGTATAGACCTACGTGGGGTGCTCTGGCCCCACATGGCCCCTGCTTACAGGCTTCCCACATCCTAAAATGACATTTCCCCGCAGTCCTCCTCGTCCTCCCGCCTCCCTCTGAGGTGAGGAGGGAAGAGGGGCGGTGGGGGAAAATCAGCCTTCGTTGTTCTGCTCGGGAGACGAGCGACGGAGCTTCAGTTGTACAGAGAGACACAGAGACGGAGGAGCGCAGGGAGGGAGCTCTAAAAAGGACCCTCCATTTGTGGGAGGGGGAGCGCTCAGGGGATACCCGCCCCCCAGGAAGAGAGATCGAGAGCTGAGACCCAGCAAAGCGGACGGGGTCGCCAAGTCCTCTCCAGCAAGGTAAGGTCACTGTGGTTCCTATTGCGTGGCGTTTGCTTAAGACACAGTAGAGAGGGCAGAAAATGACTCTTCATTTCTTTCTTTTTAGAAGGGTTCTTGGCTAAGGAGCTGCGGAGATCTGGGGGTGTTTGTCTTGGGGGTACAGAAGAAGGCTAAATTTTCAACCTGGAATATAAATGATGATGGCGGGGTTGGGGGGGGGGCTTTCCCCACCACAACAAATCACAAGTCCTGTAGTGGAATTTCTGACCTTTTACTGTCTGAAATTGACTTGGGCTGCCGCAGTGGCCCCGGACACGTGTCTTCCTTCCTTCCGTTTAGGGAGTCTTAGGATTTAGAGGAGGAGGTGTGGAATACACACACACACACACACACACACACACACACGCTTGTGTGTTTGTGCATGCGCGGGTGTGTGAGTGTGAAACACAAGCCATTCTAAGGTTGTTGACTGACTCTGTCTGGATTGTCAAGAAGAGTTTTCTCGCTACACACCCTTCTGGATCCTGGCTCTGGGCAACTCATTGGCACATTTTTGTCGGCCACTTCTAGGTTTTTTTTAGGAAGGGGGAACTGCCCCTCTCCGTCTCCATAGATTAAGGCCAGCTGAAGCTCTCTTAGGCAAAAACTTATTATCTGTGTGTTTGGGGGTGGGGAGAGACTTTACAGCACCTTGTATGCAGGAAGGAGAAGGGACAATATAGTATTTTCCTCCTTTAGGATTTTGATTGATTGATTGAAAAAAAAAGAGTATAGACCCGCTTTTAAAATTGGGATGTAAGGTATATATGGGAGCCCTTTCCCTCAGCTCCATATGAACTCTCCGTGCTTCGTATGGAGCAAGGGGAAAGTCGAGGGACAGCAATTTGTTGTTTGTTTGTTTTTTTAAGACTGGGAGTAATATTTGCACACCGTTAATCCGGATCGCAGTCCGATATTCTCCTTTTCACACAAGGGAGGACAAGGAGAAAACGTTCATTCACTCGTATGGGGCTAGGGAAAGAGGTTGGGGACTGAGAGGGTTTGGTTGACCGTGAGAAGCAGATAACTTGTGAATTTTCTCCCCATCGTCCTCAGAGATGTTAGTCTGGTGGTAGTAGATTCCTGGCGCACTGGATAACGTAGTGGGCTGGACCAGCTCTGCCCTGGACCCTGTGTGGATGTGTATAGAAACTATGATATATTAGTTGGATATTATCCTTCCTTTTGTGAGTTTAGCAGAGTACACCCCTTGCAGTAAAAATAGGAAGATTGCACACCCAGCCCTGACTTTATGACTTTCTTATCTGTTATGTGTGCTTGTGTGTCTATATCAATATCTAAACAGATTACACACACGCAATCCCAAAGCGAATTGTTTCCTGCAACGCTCATCTATTCCCTCTCGGAAAGCACAGAGCAGTTTTACAAGCAAAGGTCGAACCACACAGACACACACACACGCCGACTCCTCTCGCTCGAGGTCCCCGGTGGTGTGTGCCTTTAAACACACCCAGACACACAGCACACACCCGCCGCACCATGGTCACCATTGGAAAGTTGCCTTGGCAGAAACTTCACTCAATAGGGCGACAATGGAGCCCCCGGGGCGGGCGGGACAAAAGGGGTTGGAAGTAGTTGAACTGCCAGGCACGTCCACCCCCCGGGTGCTTGAATTAAAAAAGAAGAAGGAGAAGGAGGAGAAAAAGAAATAATGAATGAGAGAGAGGGAGAGAGAGAAAGAAAAATGAAAGAAAAGAAATGTACGGGGGGAAGAGGGAGGGGGAAGCTAGAGAGGGACTTTTCTTTGCGCTGGTGAGAAAATACTCCGGGCAAAAAGTTGGTTCGGCGTCTTCATTTCAGCGCCAACGGAGCAAAGCTAATTCAATAGGAAACGCGAAGGTTTCCAAATAAAGAAGCGCTGTTAACGTGAAAAGTTCGTCTCTGGCGAATTAATTGTTAGGGCAAATAAACTCAGCCACGGAGAGACGGCAGTAGGTCGGGAAGGGGATTATTACTATTATTTTCTCTTAACTGCTGGCTGACGTTTCATCCGCAGTTACGCAATGATTTTTCAGTGCTCGTCCTTTCGCGGAGAGAGTTTAAATCTAACCCACACAACGCTATCTCAGATACTTCCGGGGGAAAGGAAGGATGTCATTTGCTGTTGTTGATTTTATTTTATTTTTTTTAAAAAATATTTATTTATTATTTTTTTAAAAAATAAAATACGACCCTTTGTCATAAAGCAAAATGAGACAGAAATCGTGGCAGGGCCTGGTGTTTTCTAAGAGAGCGCAGTGATACTCGGAGCATCTTCTAAATGGGAATTTGTATTTTCCCGTTCAGAAATCCGAAGCGATCAGCAAGATTTTTGTAGCTATCCCATCTATTGTATAGCTGCCTCTTCCGAAGTTTGGTTACTGCTAGCGAAGGTTTGAATACCTGTTCTTGTGGTTTCAACGTTTTATACCATAGCGCCTCTTTATTATCCCGTGTTGTGTGATCGTATATTTATATATCTATCTATACATACATACATACATACATACACACACACGCACATATATATATAATATATGTATATATGTATATGCATGTATATATATATATATACAGACTGAGTCTACAGTCCAAGTTGGGAAACATTAATGGCTCAGAGAAAAGAGTTGCAGAAGCAACGGTTGGTTAAATAATAATAATAATTTTTTAAGCGAAGCATACTGAAAAATGCAGATTATTTTTTGTGTGCATATGGGAAATAAATTCATTACATAACAGAAGGCTGAGCAGGAAAGAGAAACAAGACGTTTGGAGATAAAATAATAATAACAGGTGTACAGTGCTAGCTTAGACAGGTCTACTCAGAAGTAAGTCCTATGACGTGGGCCTTATGACCAGATAAGTGGCTATAGGAGTGCAGCTGCAATTACTATAAAAAAGAGAGGGGATCCAAATACATAAAGAAATAAGACAGCGATTAGAGTTGCTCGAGGCTAATGAAAGCACGGGGCGGGGGGAGACGTGGAATCAAGACGAGAGAGAGAAGAGAAACAAAACGGGAAGGAACTGATTTAAGGCTCCAAATGCTCGAATTCCAATTCAGACGCCCACACGCCCACATTCACCTAAACACAGCACCGCCTCGCACCGTCGGTTTTATTGGGGGGTGGGGTGTCGTCTGTTCCAACGCAACACAGGAATGGCCTGCAAGGGGTTAAACTGATTGCTCATGAACTTGGCCTGTCTGTCTGTCTGGATTTTGATGGATGGGGTAGACCCCGCTGGCAAGTTCAGGCGGCAAGACCTCCCCCGCGGCTTCGGCGGTCCTGGGAAGCAGACGACAGAGGGAGAGGGAGAGGGCGGGGGAAGGGGAGGGGGGCGAGGGAGGGGAGGGGGAGACTTCACCTCCCCGTTACTCCCCCTCGCTTTACTACCGCAGCCTCCCACCCTTCTACCTCGCTGCAGAGGAGGGCGAAGTTGCCCGATCTCGGATAGAGAGCTGGTCTTTCCCTGGCCTCTTAAAGGCCCCTAATTCGCTTGGAATGGGATGGAGAGACAGGTAGAGGGGGAAGGTGGATCCACGCGATGGAAGGAGAAGGCAGGCTGGGAAAAAGCGGGGCTGGGTTTCAGCATTTGGACAGCGCCCGAGGCAAGGTAACCACGGTGGGCAAAGAGTGGTATGGAGAGAGAGGCAAGCGCAGAAAGCGGGGGGCCAGTAGAGAAGAGGGTCTCTAGGGCGACCTCTTCCTCCCTGGCTTTCAGATCCCACCGTGGGGGGGGGGTGAAGTTGGGGAGGGAGCCTCTCTGGGTTTGGAAATGTGGGGTGGGGAAAGAGGTTTTCCTAGAATCCAGGTGCAAATCCAACGTGCTCGCGAGCTGTTCCTCTGCTTTGCCATATCTGCCCATCTGGTTACCGACCTATGGCGCGCACCCCATCTATCATCAGGAGAATTAACAGACAGACAGACAGGATGTATGGGTGGCTATAAAGGCAACAAGGAGGGGAAGGGAGAGACGGTCACCTAACCACTGTCACAAAAATATCAGTTATGTCAAAAGGGCTCTCCTCCACTATGATCAAGATCCTTCCCGCTCCAATACTTTTTCTTCTACTCAATCCCCCATCCCAAGATGCGGAAAGACTTGGGGGTCTGCTCAGAAAACCCCATTACCCCCAGTCCCACAATACCTTCTCTCAACGCCCTGCAAAGAATGCGGCAAAACCAAACATCCCCCCCCCCAAAAAACGCCTCTTTTACCTGCCCAGAATTCCACCCCGTTGGTCATTCCCCTATCCAGGAGGGTTTGAGGACTGGTGGGGGGCTGGTGGGGCAGGTGGGCCGGTATAGTGTTGGTTTTCTTCTTCTAAGCCTGCCTGAGCTGTTTTCAAAAGGTCGTCCTTATGCAAGCCTATCAGAATGGACTCCCTCTCCCCCTCCCCGCCCAGCCACAAGCCACTTTCCCTTTTTAATTGGAGCTCCACCGGAGTCTTAATTACAGGCTGAGAGAGGGAGGGTAGGCTGAGATTTCTGCTCGGTGGAGAAGCCTGGCCAAGCGCCCCCTCCCCTCCCCCTCCCCCTCGCTTCTCCCCCCTCCTCTTCCTCCTCCTCCTCCTCCTCCAGCCGCCCCTGATTGGCTCGAGTAAGACGCTGCTGCTCTGACGTCACCCAGCCTGCCAGCAGACCAGGCTTTCTTGGAAAACGACCAGAGCTTTTGGAGCTAAGAGGAGCTGGCTGGGCGCGCGGAAGGAAGCCCAGCTAGAGGCGCCCTCCTTCTCTTAAATCCCCCTCCTCCCCACCCCTCTCTCCGCTCCCTCAGAGCCAGAAGGGGGAAAGGGGGGCCGGCCAAGGAGGCCCACACAGCGAGACGGAAGCCGTGGATCATCCTCGGCTGGGAAATAAGCTACGCAGCAGCTCCAATCGCCTTTCGCCCCTTCTTCTTCTCCTTTTTATTATTATTATTATTATTATTGTTATTTTCTTGGCCACGGATTTCTTCTGTCTGCCTGCCTGCCTTCTCCATCACCCGTGCTTGGAGCTGCCGCGTGTAAGTGCTGATCTTGCTTGCTCTTCGCAGAGAATCCTGCCTGCCTGCCTTTCTTTTCTCTCGCTCCCACACAACCACGGGGGAAGGCGTTAAAGGCTGTGGGTTTTTGGGCCCACCATCGTAGAAAAGAGAGATGGGGATTCGGTTGGGTTAGAGGCGGTGGAGACGGCTATGGAGTGATGGCGCTGCTCGCCTTTGAAACAGCGTCTGGCGTGAGGTGGGGGGGGCGTTCAGGGAGGTGCTGGTGTTTTTGAGGGGGTGGGGGGCAGAAGGGGGGGATTTGGGAACGGTCGAGGGTGCCGGGGGAGGGAAGAAATATCTCTCCCCACCTTCTATAAGAGAAAGTTGATCTTCCTTTGCTGCTTTGAATAAGCAAACGAGGCAAAGAAGGAAAGGAAGACGAGCACGTGTGAATTGCGGGTTTGGGGAAGGGAAGTAAGAGCGTGGGAACGCGGGGAAGAGAGAAGAAGGCGCTCGGGAAGAAGGAAGAGGGTGTCGGGAGAAGTCCTCCCAGGCCTTCCTTGGTTGCAAGCTTTGGATCTTGACAAAGCCGGGTCTGCGTGCGAGTGTGTGTTTGCTCCCAACCGCTGGAAAAAGCTTTAAATAGGTAGGCATCCATGGCTTTGGGAAGTAGCTGGGCTTTTGGGATGTTGCGCACGTAAAGGCGAGGGGAGCCAAAGAAAGCGGGGTGGGTGGAATAGTTCGAGGCTGCGATCCCCTTACACGCTGCGCGCCGTGCGTGATTATTGGCTCCCGAGTAAAGCTTGCTTGGATTGTACTTGCACGCGGGTGGATCGGGTAGCTGCGTTACGCCGCAAATGAGGAGCGTGGTGGCGGTGGCGTCTTCCCGCAGTCCCAGATTAAAGGTACCCCTGATAGCATATGGGTTGCAGCCAATGCTAGTCCTGCTGGGTGTGTAGAGCCATTAAAGTGAGTGAGGATGAACTAACTGAGGTCCATTGCTTTCAATGGGTCTACTCTGAGTAAAGCTAAGTTAGCTACCACCCTTTGCCAAGTCAAGGCATTCCGAGAGTCTACTGTGCGTCTGTCTGTCTTCGGTTCTTGGGCTGCTAGAACTAAGAGTGTTGCGAGGAGGCCTTGAAGTTCATCTCTAGCATTTAATAACGACACTAACAGCAGAAAGTAATAACTGCACTAACACTAGCGATGATGGTGCTGGTAAATAATAATTATATTAAATAATTATTAAATAATAATTATATTAATAATGCATCATTTTTTTGTGTCTTTTGTCCCGAATCTACCACCCGAGGCAGCTGCCTCAGTCGGCCCACTGTTGGGGACGGCCTTAAGTTTCAGGCTCATATTTCACGTTTATGGATTTATTTCCAAGATGCGCGGTAGAAATGAGGGGACGAGTTGTTGGTTTCTTGGACATTCACATAGTTACTGAGGTGCTCTGAGCGGGTCCTTACCAAACCTTAGAAAGATATCGATCCACTTCTCCCAAATGCTCGCTATTGTAAAAGCCACTTCTGAGACTATTATTCACGCGGAGGGCATTAGAAAGATTCTTCACCCACCAGTTATTTCAAAAGGCTTTGTTCTTTTCGAAGGGCCCGTGGGTTTGTGGCGAGCGTGTGCGATTTGCATGGGATGGTTAATATTGCAAATTCTCTTAACAAACAAAATGGGTTCTGTAGTGTTTGATGCCCATGGTGCAAAATATTTATATACGAGTATATATATAAGAGTAACAGATTTCAAGACACGTGTGAAATATCCCAGGCTTACAGTGGATATTTTTGAGAGAATGATAATGATAACCACAACAACAATTGCACTTTTTACATGATGTCTGGCCTTGAAAACACAGAGTTAGAGAGCATTCCATTTAGAAGTATTGCTTACCATACATTACCGAAATGAGGACAGCCACTAAGAATGAATCCTTTAATTTTCTGTTATTAGAGGCAGAAACCCTAACTAACGTGGGGGGTGGGGGTGGCGGAACTTGGATATATTTTCTATCGCAAGTTACAGCCGCTGCATTGATATCTAGGTAGCAGCGAATGCAAGTGCGTCTGGATTTATTGCCTTTGCTTAACTTTCATTTTATTAGGTGTCGTTTCTCCTTCCTTACCTTCCTTTTCTTCCTCTTATTTTTCAGAGTCAATTAAAATAATAATAGTGAATTAGAACAATTTCCACCGATTAGGCCTCAGCCTTGAGCGTGTGCCTAGGGATATAGCACATGATATTTTAAGTTGCGCCCCTCAAAACAGGCCAGACGTTCAAAGGACGTGCATTCCTGTCTAGATCACGGTCCCCTCACCCCCCGATGCTTGTTTGGAAGGCAGTATAAAGAGAAAAACAAACACACCCTGGCCCTCCTCTCTCCCTCAGCTTTCTACTCCGTTTCTGGAGCGGCCGCGTTTACCCCGCTCATGATGGGACTCTTAATTACTCGGCAAAGCGAGGCTTCCCAGTTCACCGCCCTTACTTTTCCCCCAACCAGCCTGCTTCTTATTTCTCCAAAAATACCCCCCTCCGAACCCTTCGGGATCTGCCGTGCGGAGTTGGCAAAGAGAGAGGTGAGGGGACCCAGCACAAACCAGGAGATTCACCGGACTGAGTCCACAGAGCAAAGAAGCGTGTGTGTGGTTATTCGAGGTTGGCTAAAAATAACTTTCCCCTAATTAAAGAAGACCTGACGTCAGACATGCTCAGGCGTAAAAAAAAAGGGGGGAAGGCCTCGAGAGATGATGTGTGTAGTTTTCTTCTTTCTTTCTTTCTTTCTTTCTTTCTTTCTTTCTTTCTTTCTCTCTCTCTCTCTCTCGTTCTTTCCTTTTTGGAGAAGAGGAGAGCAGGAGGGCTTCTTTAATTTTGAATGTCTTGGAAAGCGAGTGCGGCAAGGTTGGGGCTACGATTCTTTCTAGCTGGCTGGTTAGGAGCCTTTTTAAAAATGCTCATCTCAGTAAAACCAGGCACGATTTCTCTCTCTCTGTGTGTTATGATTTTGCATTTCTAAAAAAAAAACCTACTCTGGTGTGCGTCTCTCTCTGTGTTGTGCTTTTGGGCGTTGAAATAACGACACGGTGTGGAACACAGTCAGCCTAGCGGGGTTGTGTATGTTAGGGTGTGAAACCTAAGACGCTGGCAAGTTAGCAATGTCATGTGACTTTAAGTAGTCAAGCTCGTTAAGTTGTTAAGTTGCTCAGTATATAAAGTGTGTTTGTTTTCTCTGCCTGTGGGGTGTGAAGCAAAAATGTCTGAAAGCTCCGGAGGTATTTCTGTTATCTTTCTGCAATAAACCTGTCTTTGGAAAGACAGGCTTCCCTGTGTCGTTATTTCTTTGCTGCTGAGACTCTGAAGCTTGTACTGCAACAAGAATCTCTGCACTGGACTTAATTAATACTCTGCAAAGAGAGCTGTTGCTGGTGGCGCAGCGGAAGCGTTTACTGGACCAGTACACAAACTCTCTTAGGTTATGGATCCTTCTACGTTTCTACAGCTGTATTGTGTGCAGAGAAAGTGAAAGCAGCTTTCGGATGAGAGAAGACCGGCTTGGTCGTAAATCCAGCTCTTAAAGGCTTCAGAGGAGGCTGGAGGCGTCTGAAAAGTGAGTAAAACAAATCCCAAGGGGAAAAAGAAGAAAGGGCACACAGAGGGAGTAGCAGCAGACCCCAAGAATGGCAGTGGAAAATTTCCAGGTTCCCTTTACAAAGTTGAACTCTGCAAATTACGTGCAGTGGTCTAAGAGGGCTCAAGTCTGGTTGGAAGCCAAAGAAGTGTGGGCTGACTATGTCCAGAGGCGAAAGCCGTTTGTGGCTGTTGCAGCAGATGCCACAGCAGAGCAACAGGCTGCTGCACATGCTCAGAATAGGGAACATGATAAAATGGACACTAAAGCTAGATGCATGTTGATGGTATCGATAGACGATTCCCAATTACCTCATGTGGAAAATTTAAGGTCTGCATTTGAAATTTGGGAAGCTCTTAGGCGAATTCACCATAGAGCCACGCCCGGAGAGAAGGTGAACATTATACGTGCTTTGTATGAGTTGAAACTGAAGCCAGGGGATAGTGTGGTTGAACACACGTCACAGATGACTGAGTATTTCAACCGACTGTCATCTTTAGGTGTGAATTTTCCTGAAAATATTAAAGTTTATACTCTGCTTAGCAGCCTGCATGCAGGGTTTGAAAACTTAGTACTAACTTTACAGGTTTTGCCAGAGGACCAGCTGAATATGAATTATGTGACTGGTAGATTGTGTGAGCAAGAATATCAACATCATCGAAAACGTATTGATAATTCAAATACCCCAAGGGTTGGGTGTTCAGATAATTCCCAGCGTGGGGAAACTAGCAGGCAGAGCTGTAAGGAAGCCTCACAAGTGTCTGCTATGGCCAGCAAGTCATGTTTTCGATGTGGCAGCAGGTTTCATTTGATAGCAAAGTGTCCAGAAAAGCAACAGGAATTTCAACAGTCCAGGGCCAGTTTCCGGAGCTACAGGGGAAGACGACGTGAGAACTACAAGAATCAACGATCCAGAGGGGGAGCAGGTGCTGATAAGGGACTATCTGCAATGGCAGCACAAAAGAGTCCTAAAAGGAGCCAACAAACCTTGAAGTGGATAATTGACAGTGGAGCAAGTCACAGTTTAGTTCCAGCGACATCCAGTGGCCGCTTGATGAACTGCAAGACATTGCCAGTTGCAAAAACCGTGACTATAGCAGACAATAGTAAACGAGAAATGAACCTTAAAGGCACAATTTATGTTAACTGTTTGCAAACTAACCTTCCTGTTTTTGTTCTTCCAGGAATGAAGAATGGACTTTTGAGTGTGTCATGCCTGGTAAAAAGTGGTTTTAAGGTTGAGTTTGAAAATGATGTGTGCACCATTTCGAAACAGGGGAAGGAGCTAGTTAAAATTCCCTGTGAGGATGGGCTTTTTGTTTTGGATGAAGAGCAGTTAGCAGCAGGTAGATGTTCAACAGGTGAAGCGCAAGCTAAGTGTGTAAATAAGGCTCCTCATACAGGTTGTGCACATCTACTACACAGAAGGTTAGCTCATATATGCTTTAAGTATGTAAGCAAGATGCCAGATTTAGCTGAGGAGTGTAACATTAAACCCTGTCCAAATTTTCTGGATTGTTGTGCTTGTAAACATGCTAAGGTTAAGACATGTAACTATCCTAGATCTGATAGAGTAAGCAAGAAACCCTTTGAACTTGTGCACACAGACGTGTGTGGCCCTATGCCAGTCAAATCGCTTGGAGGTGCGAGATTTATGCAAATTTTGGTGGATGATTTTTCAAGGGCTAGTTGGGTTTTCTTTCTGAAAGAAAAACACAAGCAGCTTCCATCCTGATGGATTGGATTGAAGAAGTCGAATGTAAATTTGACACCAGGGTACGTAAAATACAATCAGATCGTGGTGGGGAATATGTGAACCACACGCTGGAGACGTGGTTAAAAAGGAAAGGTATAGTTCATAGACTTACCAATCCCTATTCACCACAGGAGAATGCAGTTGCTGAAAGAAAATTTCGAACATTACAGGAAGCCATTGCTGCTTTGCTGTTTGATTCTGGACTTCCACAGCGTTTTTGGGCTGAGGCTGCACTGTATGCGAATTATACTTTTAACAGAGTGTACAATAGCACAGTAGGCAACACTCCTTACTTCATGCTATTTGGGAAAAAACCAAAAATTGATCATCTAAGAGTTTTTGGATGTCGTGCTTATGTGCTGGTGCCTAGGGCACAACGTAGGAAAGGCGATCCTAGGTCTAAAGAAATGTTTTTCTGTGGTTATCAAGCAAACACAAAAGGTTGGAGATTTGTGAATGTAGAAGGCAATCAAACGAAAATCACAATCAGCAGAAGTGCAGAATTTTGTGAACAGGATGGTTGGAATAAAATTCATGGAAATCCTGACATACTATTTGATGTGGTGAACAGCAATGAAACTCAGGCCCCAGGGCAGGTATTAGTTCCAGAACAGACTGAGGAATTTGAGTCTGAGGATAAGGGTGAGAAATCGCCTAGTTCACCCAAGTCTGTAAAGTCAGAATCTTCTAGTTCTAAAAGTTCACCTGTACAGCAAGAGAGACGTGTAAAGTCAGAATCAGAAAGTTCTACAACTACTAGTGACAAACAGGTGACGACTAGTGATTCTGGGTCAGAGGGGAAACTGAAGGAACATCGCAGGAACTGTTAAGGCGTTCTACGCGTACCAACAAAGGTAAACCTCCTGAAAGGTACCAAGCTATTAGTGTTTGGGCTGGTTTGGCAAATTGCGAACCTGAAAGTTTTGAGGAGGTTGAACAATTACCCCAGGAGGAGGCCAATAGGTGGCGTGAGGCCATGCAAAAGGAGTTGAATTCTATGAAAGAACTGGGTGTGTTTTCCATCACCAAACTGCCAGAAGGTACCAAAGCAGTAAGTTGTAGGTGGGTGTACAGGATAAAGACAACAGCGATGGGGAAACCAGAGTACAAAGCAAGGCTTGTAGCTCGAGGTTTTACGCAAAGAAAGGGGTTACATTATTCCGAAGTCTATGCACCCACTTCAAGGAGTGAAACCCTACGGGCACTATTAGCAGTTGCTGCTCAGAAAGGGTTCAAAGTGAATCAATTTGATGTCTCTACAGCTTATCTTCATTCAGACTTGGCTGAAGAGCTCTATATGGAGCTACCGCCAGGATTGAAAGTTGGTAAATCAAATCAGGTATGGAAACTACATAAATCTATTTATGGACTCAAGCAATCTGCTCATAATTGGAATGAATGTTTGAATGACGTTTTGGTAGGCATTGGTTTTAGCAGGAGCAAGGCTGACAATTGCTTATATTTCAGAAGTTCAGGAGATGCTCAAGAATCTTTGCTTGTTTATGTAGATGACCTGATTTATACTTCAAAGACACAAGAACAAGTAAAAAACTAGCCAAAGAGTTAAATAAACACTTCAAAGTTAAGAATCTTGGTGATGTGAAGGTCTATCTTGGTGTTCAGATAGATAGGACCAAAAATGGCAGTTTTCTACTGAATCAAAAAGGCAAGATATTGCAAATGTTGAAAAAGTTTAACATGACGGAGTGTGCAGGTGTTAGAACACCAATGGAAATGGGTTTTGTAAAAGACAATGAGTTCAAGGATAGTGCTGAATTCAAGCGTGCTGAAATCTTTCAGTCAGCACTGGGAAGCTTACTTCATCTTTCGCAATGGAGTAGACCAGATATTGCTTACGCTGTTAACTTACTCAGCAGAGAAGCTTCGAAACCTAGTGTAAATGCATGGAAAGGAATTCAAAGAGTGTTAAGATATTTACAATACACCAAAGATTTTTGCCTTGAATTGTTTTCGGAAGGACAAGCACAGATTACTTGTTGGGCAGATAGTGATTGGGCAAATTTAAAGGATAGAAAATCAGTGTCTGGCTGTGTAATAAAATTTGGTAACTCTCTGATTGGGTGGAGATCCAAGAAACAGAACCTAATTGCTTTGTCGTCAACAGAAGCTGAGTTCTGTGCCTTATCTGAGTTATGTAGAGATCTAGAATTTTACAAATGCTTGGCACAAGAGATGTATGAAAAGGCCATCACTCCAATCACTGTGTGGGGTGATAATCAACCGTGTCTTAAGTTAGCACAAAATGGGCAGTTTAAAGGTCGTACAAAACATTTGGATATCCGCTTTCAAAATGTTTGTCAAACGGTAAAAGCAGGAATTGTTAAATTAAATTACTGTCCCAGTCATGAAAATCAAGCTGATGGTTTTACAAAACCACTTGGGTTTCAGCGGCATGAAAACTTTTGTGAAGAAATGGGTCTGAAGTAATTTTGGTTTTTTTTGTATTGCCAGCGAGAGGGGGTGTTAGGGTGTGAAACCTAAGACGCTGGCAAGTTAGCAATGTCATGTGACTTTAAGTAGTCAAGCTCGTTAAGTTGTTAAGTTGCTCAGTATATAAAGTGTGTTTGTTTTCTCTGCCTGTGGGGTGTGAAGCAAAAATGTCTGAAAGCTCCGGAGGTATTTCTGTTATCTTTCTGCAATAAACCTGTCTTTGGAAAGACAGGCTTCCCTGTGTCGTTATTTCTTTGCTGCTGAGACTCTGAAGCTTGTACTGCAACAAGAATCTCTGCACTGGACTTAATTAATACTCTGCAAAGAGAGCTGTTGCTGGTGGCGCAGCGGAAGCGTTTACTGGACCAGTACACAAACTCTCTTAGTGTAAGCATGCTGGAGGGAGGGAGGGAGAGGGGTGGAATGGAGAAATATCACTGGGGAAATCTGGCGGCCGCCATGTGAGCGTGGTAGCTGCCGAGCCTGCTCCCCCTGCGAGCCTGCGGCCCCGGCGACTGCGAGCTCGGCCTGCCTTTTCTGCACCAGCGCACCGACAGACAGACAGCCGTGTTACATGGCTCCCTGTTGGGACTTCCACGCGATTTCCTCCCTCCACTCCCCACGCCTCCCTCTCCCCGCCACCCTTAAATCCCCACATTTAAAGCATTCCTTTGCAGGAGCACAAAGCTCACGCTGTTAGAAGGGAGCGAAAGCTTATGCCCCCTAGGCCCATTTCACAGCTATTGGGATGGGGAGCATTTCTCCTGAATGGCACCCCAGTATTGGGAAGATCTGACCCTGTCCAGTCTTCCAACACGGACCCGTTCACTTCAGAGCAGCCACGTTGGCTGCGGTGGGGCACATTCCCAGAAAGTGGGGTTGTAGATTCTTTCCTCTCTCCCCTTCTCTTCGCCCTCGTTTTCATCCCTGTATCTCCTCTCCGCCTTCCACCCATTGGTCTCCTCTTGGGCTGGATGAAGACACATTCTTCACCTCCCAGAATTGGGCTCAGCTACGCGTCTGAGGTGTAGGAGGGATTTTGAAAGATGCCTTTTGGATTTAGTGGCGCCCCTGAAATCTTCTCCCACCTACTACTCCTAGGTAGGGGGTGGCGGTGACATGGCTGCAGCCGGGACACTCTGTCTTTGTACTGAGGCTTGATGGATCCGAGTTGGGCCTTGTTAGATTGACACCCTGCAGTCTACCAAAGTCTTGGAGGCCAGGGAAAAGAAAGAAAGTCTGCAGCCCTCTTCGGGAAGGTTGGCAACCACCTTACATACAATCCTTATAAAACAACCAATAACTGTGACTTGTTATCTCAATTAGAGTCGAATTGCATCTAGCTTTGATGATCTGGTGGAAGAGCGAACGAGTCTGAATCGATTTGTTAGAATGGAATCCTATACATTTCTAATCAGAAGTACATCCCCCAGGTTCAGTGGGGCTTACTCCCAGATAAGTGGGTTTAGGGGTGCAGTTTCAGTCTTTAAGATGGCACCAGACCCTCTGCAACAACAGACTAAGAGCGTTGACACCCCTCTGGAAGTTTTCTTCATCTTTTATAATTTCCGAGGAGGGGAAAAATATTTATTTAATAGGGGACTGTTCATTTCCCATCCGTTACAAATAGCTCTAGCCAGAGGCGGATTATACCTAGATTAGTATTTCTTTTTTTAAGGTTGGGGAAGAATTTCTTATTATGTAACCTGATGCACGATTTTGCTATTTGTTTACTGTCCCTTACCAGAAAATTTCCCATTGTATTAGAAAGGAGGGAGCGGAGGGGTTATTAAAGAGATTTTATTTTATTTTGCAAGAGGCGAGTGGGTGAGAGATGATGAACAGATGATGCAAATATGCCGGCAACGAAGGCACGTTCAGCTTCCAGCACCTTGGCCAGTGCCTTCGCCCTCGGATTTAAGCAACGCTTCATTCTTGGGCAGCCGGTGGAGAAGTAGGGAATTGTGTTCCGCGGCAGAGTTAGTACCCAACCGCATTTTCCCATGCGGAGACCCGAGGGAGGAGACCTCTCATTGGGGCTGCGGGAAGGCTGGCGTGCTCCCAGTTTCCAAAAGCCTCTCGGAGGAGCCGTAACGCGAGACAACACCAGCACGTTAGGCCTAAGGCTGCTGGCAAGACTTTCCCGGGCCTGGCCAGAGCTAGCCTACTGCTAAATGATGGTGGGGGTTTGGAAGGAAATTCTGGACAGAAATGGGGCAGGAATTACTGCTTGACCAGGCTGGCTAGTAGCGTAGCACCAGGCAAAAGCGGATCCGGTCGCCTCTTGCCTTCCTTGGTTCCTTTCCTTCTTCGTGTTCCGTGGATTTGAAGCCCCCCTCTGGAAATAGTGGTTTGATCCAGGGATTATTTGATTTATTTAGATTATATTTAAATTCCTTATTTCCTTCCCTTCATCTCTCCCTCCCCTCTTTTTACCCGTCGTTCACCCCCTCTCTCTGTCCTATCAATATTCTATCTATCCATCCACACATATCTTCTTTCTTTCTTTATTTCCACCACCCACCCACTCAGCTAACAAATCTGTTTTATCCGGATTCAACGCACACGTAGAACAGCCATTCCCCATAGCGGAGAGATCCTGTGGCATTTAGCATCGATTTGAAACATTCTGTTCAACTGATACATAGAATATTGACTAGAGGAGACAAGTCAATACTCCGCAATAGGCTCGATATAGACACCATTCTCTCTCTCTCTCTGTGTGTGACACACACACACACACACACACACACACACACATTTAATGGTAACGACAACGTTTTAGAATTAGCATGCTTGCAGATGGGTAGCCATGTCTGTCGGTTGCCGCAAAAACAGAGTCTTGTAGTACCTTAAAGGCTAAGACACTCTGACTGTGGCAGAACCTATCGGTTCTGGATTTAGGTTATCGAATCGTCTGCTTAGCTTGCAAGCTACCTGTGTGATGGAGCGGGGGTGGGGGGGCAGAAATCAGCTCGTCCAAGTGGCTTCTGCGTATTTGCGCACAGAGAAATAATGAATGCAAGGATTTTCCTTGCATGTTTTACGGTCATCCTGTTCAGGCGCTGGAGGAAATATCGCGCGCTTGGCCTTGAGATGCCTGCTTCTGTTTTCCACGCAGGAGGAGAAGCAACAACAACAGTACAGGCAGAAACGAGCGGCGCGTTTCTACAAGGCCAGGTTGGGGGGGGGGCGCGCGCCTCATTTTATTCCGAGAAGGGGAACCGGTGACCTTCCAGATCCTTCCTGGACTACATTTCCCATCATCCCTGACCACTTTCCACGATGCCTGGCGCTAATGGGAGTTGGGGTCCAGTAACACCCGGGTGTGTGTTGTGTGTGTGTGTGTGTGTGTGTGTTTCACCAGTTCCCCATCCTTGATTCAATCGCAAACCCCAGAATGAATGTCCATGGAACCCAAAACGTCATTCCGAACGTCTTTCGCTAGAAATCTTCGGAACTTGATGGGCCTTCCCTTCCCTTCGCTTGCAACCCACACGGAAAATAAAATAAATTGAGAGAGCATCATCCCCACGCCCCTCTCCACCATTGCATCGCATATTTCGCTCCTGCAAGGTGCCGGGCCCTGCGGGCAACAGACGTGGACTCAGGCGGAAAGGTTTTATATTTTCACGGAAATATGTAAGGGGCGGCGCAGAACATTAAGACTCTATACAGAAGTGTGAGGATTTGGGAAATGGCATTCGGGAAGGTGGAATTTTGGGGGTGGCTACTAAGCGGAGGGATCTACTAGCCAGCCACGGATGATCACCCTTTACTAAAGAGAACCACACCTCCTTCTTTTAGGAAAATCTACAATAATTCCCCCTGGACCTGGGGAGAGGATCAGTAATATTTGGATTTTGTTTGAAAACCCCAAATTCTCAATGTTCAGTATCTTTCCCCCGCTTTCCCACCAGTCTTCTAGTCCAGGGAAATCTACGGTAATTCAAGATTAGTCCTTTAAAACAATCTGTCTTGCAAATACACTGGATTAGGCCGTGGGAGGAGGGGAGGGAGTTGCAGATCTGCTTCTGATCCGAAGTCAGATCCCATTCACTGCTTTCCCTCCGGCTTGATCCACACGTTCTCAGTCCCACCCAATCAGATCCTTTCAAACAGCAACAACGCGTGTACCATTCGGGGGGTGGGGTGGGCAAATCTCTTCCTAAAGGACGAGCGGTGTTTCTAAAGCGTGTTTGTTCCGAGTCAAAATTAAAAGAAAACGGAGGGTGGGGGAGAGTGAAGGAGCCTAATTTTCCTCCAAGAAATGGTGGGGGGAATGGAGGCGGAGGGCGTCGTCCCTGAAAACTAATTTCACCGTTCATTCAGAGGTTCTGGAATTCGAACACAGGACCTCGTGGACCTCCTCCGAAATTACGACTTATTGAGAAAGTCAGGATTTTCGGTGAATACCTGTTCCGCTGACTTAGTTTCAATCTAAGTGTTTCGGTTTAAGTGATCTACGGAATGGTCTGAGAGCCCCTTAAGGTCCCTTTTCCATTGTACCTGGAAGGCGGTGTGTAAAGATTTTGCCCGGGAGTATTCAGAGAACTCAAGTGTTTCCTTAGAGCTTCAGTCCTAACATTACTTGGAAGTAAGTTTTGATGAAATCAAAGGAATTTACTTCCGAGGCCGTTTATTAAACTAGCCATTAGCCTTGTAGCTAGTTTTTTTTTAATTAAAAAAAATCTTTATAGGGGGAAAAATCACGCGAGAATGTTGATTTAATGTTGATTTAATTTTTGAAGTAGACTAAGCTATTAGATCATATCCATTGGTGCTTTGTGCAGGTCAAGAGCCCAGAGATAAGAAAGACCCACTTACCCAATATAATCTATCTAATTATTAGATTGCTATATGTGTGTGCGCGCGCGCCTGCATAGCGATAGGAAAACAGGAAAGGCAGCCTTCTGAAAATGGTTAAAAGCAGAGATCTGTGTTTCCCTCCCAAACATTCCAAAAAAGAATCCGAAAAGGCTGGATTGCTTTTGGGAATGCGCGCTAGAATGGAATCCAGTGTGTGGAGAATCTTGTTGATCTCTCTTGCCCCAGTGGCATAAGGGTGAGCCTAGTGCCTGGATATCAGCCAGTTTGGACTTGCAATCCTAATCCCACTCACTCCATAACAGCGCAACCCTGTGCATTTCATATCCAGAGACAAGTTGATATCCTCAGAAGTAAGTCCTGTGGAATTCAAGCGGGGTTTTTGGTTACAGGAAAATGGGATTAAGGGTCGCAACCTAAATCTCCGGGAACACAGTGAGATTTACCTCTGGGTAAATAGGCGCAGGATTGTGGAGTCAGTTAGATCCCGCCGCCTTCTGAGATTAGCAGCAATCTAGAATTCCATGCCGGGAATGTGATCTGGAGGTGATGTTAGAAGTTTTTTTAGGCGTGGATAGCTCAATCGGTAGAGCACGAGATTCTTAATCTTAGAGTCGTGAGTTCGAGCCCCGCGTTGGGCAAAAGATTCGTGCATTGCAGGGGGTTGGACAATATGACCCTCGTGGTCCCTTCCAACTCTAGGATTCTGTGGAAATGTGTCACATATACCTTGGTGTACAACGCATTGAGATCAGTAACCTGCTGTGATTTAAACTGCAGCCCTCCGCCTGCACTTACCTGCAAGTAAGTCTCATTGAGCTAAAAAAAGGCCTGCCTTCTGAGTAGACATGTATAGGAGTTCCAATGAAAATGTGTTTGGCATTGGCCTGCTGGATGTTACCTTTATTTCGGAAGAAAGGGTGGATCCGAGGCTGTTGATTCGCTATTCTATAATTCCTTAGGTGTTGCTCCCTTGCCCAGGCTTCTAACCTTCCCCTTCATTCTCTGCTCGTTTTCAATCAAACATGCTTCGCGTTGCATTTCCGGATCTGATCTCGGTTTGGGGACCGTTTGGAAACCGATAGGAGAAGAGATTGTGTCTGATGCCGGTTCAGACAGTAATCGCTTCTAATGCCTGTATTGTTTGATCTGTGAGCACGTTGCCTATCGCTCGTTGTCGATCGCTCCAGTGTGTTAAAACGCGTTGAGGAGCGAGGCGTTGGTGCTGAAGGTGAGGCGGGTGTCTTCCACACACAGCAGATCAAAGCAAAGACGCGTTAGGAGAAGAAGAAAGGGATAAAACCATTTATTTATTTTAATCATCTCGCCTCCTAATTCTGGGTGGTGCTTATTTGATAGAGTGCTGGAGCCAAGGGCGTGTTGCAATGTGTGTGCATTGTAAGTGAGAGGCTGGAGGCCGTAGAAAAATACGAGATAATTCTTATTTCGTAACTGGGGAATTTTTTTTCCCAAGGCACTTGTTTTCCATTTTCCATTCTTCTAGGGAAAAATGCATCGTTCAGAGGAGAAAATATACTGAACGATTAGGCTCCCCAAACTCAGCTGCCCACACATTTTTGCCATTCACGTGTTTGTTTCAAGAGGGAAACTGTCTCTGCTTTAATTTTAATTAATTTATTTATAAATAATTTTTTTTAAAAAGTGTGTTGGGAGACAGGAATCCAGACAACATTAAACACTTTACATTTGGGGGTTTTTCAACAGGAGAGATGTATTGGCTGGGGTTTGGGTATTTTTTTTACTAAAAGTAAAAATAAAATCCCACAAAACTCGTTGGAACTTAATCTCAAGCATGACTGCTGTCCTACGCGTTCCAGCCTAAGAAGAAGCCCCCTCCCCATGCTAATAGCTCAATGTGACGATTTAAACATGTCTGGGATAGGGGCCATAATCGGGCACGTTTGCTGCAGCCCTTAGCAAGTGTCTAAATCTCTCCCAATGAACTCAAGGGAACTTCATAGGACTTAACTTTCGCTGGATCGGGCCCTGGGACGTGAGAAGGGCTCCTCTTTCGTGCTGCGGAGTGCAAGAATCCTCTCCATCCCCAGTGATTTTAAAATGATCTGATTTCACCCCCCCCCCAAGAGTCTGCAAAATCCCAGGCCTCCCCCACGCCCCACCTCCCAACAAAGTGGTGTTAGATCGCCCTTAGTCAAGGGGCTGACCGCTCGTTCAGATCTTAATTTGCGGCACCTAGGGTTTAGACTGGAAGCGCCCATTGAACAAAATCAAGACCCCCCACGCACGCAGTGGGTTTCTTTGAGCCCCCCAGAAAAGAGGAAATGTGCGTTGCAGGAAGCCCCGTTCACTTCAATGGGGCTGGCTGCCAAGTGAAATGGCACAAGGTTGTGTTGCAGGCCTTAACTCAGGCAGGGAGAGAGGGCTGGGGGTTCGTATGGCAGACTTCAAAGAGATATTGTTGCCTAAAAGGAAAGGGGCGGAATGTGTGTTGGGTGGGGAGGCGTGGGAGGGAAAGAGCAAAAGAGGCGGGAAGGAGAGGTGATTTGAATGCGAGGCCGCCCATTGGCTGCCAGCCCTGTTGACGTCACTTCCCAAAGAAGGGTGTTTAGCATCAGAAAAGGAGTATAGAACTTGGTCAGTAGAAAGAGGGCGAGACATCAGCCCAATATCTCAGGGTGTGATTTGAATGTAAACCAGCTGCTTCCCCCCAAGGGAAATGCCTCATTTCAGATAGTCAGAACTCAGCAATGGGTGACTTCTGCCAGCCATAACCTGCAGAGCAGGTCCTTCTCGCGCTTTTCCTTCTTAAATAAGTGCAACGCTGCTCTTTTGCTTCTCTCGTCTTCCAAAAAAGTTTCACTTTCTTTTATCTCTTTCTCTCTCCTCCTTTTTTTTGCTTTCTCGATGGCAGATCGAAGATCCAAACCTCGCCACTCTTGTTTTTTCTTCTTCTACCCCCGCCAAGTTGAATCCAGCTTTATGAGGAGGGGGAAAAAAAAGAAAAGAGATAGAGAGAAAAAGTGGAGGGGAGGAAAGCAAGAAGACGCCTCGGAAGAGGGAGGGCTGTTTCTGTCTTTGGTTATCTAGCTGTATGAGTGTTATCAAGCCATCATAAAGCTAGATAACCGAAAGTAGAAATGACTTCCAAAGACTTCTGGGAGCTGGGAGGCGAAGAGGAGCAGCACGGAAGAAGAAGAAGGTGGAGGAAAAGTCCGGAGAGCTGGAAACAAGGGAAAAGAAAACGAAGCCAAAAGATCAAGATTCTCAGGGAATGAAGTTGTCTGCGGCTGCTGGCGTGTGAGAAAAGCTCCCCGCGTTGCTTCAGTACAGGTATCCTCTTATATATGTTTGCTGCTTTATTTATCTTTCTAATTTGCTTGTTGTTTTAGGAGTTTTAATTATGATTCACTCTTTTTTTCTGCCCTCAGCAATTGTGTGTGTGCGTGCATGCAAATGGCCAGAAACCAAACCGGAGCAGGCTTGTGAGAACCTGGGGGCAAGTGGGAGGTAGCAGAAAACAGAAATGATCCAAAATAGATGCGTGTATGTGTGCACGCAGATATATGTGGCCTGAAATTTATTTTCAAGTCTTGTAAAAAGGTAAAGGTACCCCTGCCCGTTCGGGCCAGTCTTGCCAGACTCTAGGGTTGTGCGCTCATCTCACTCTATAGGCCGGGAGCCAGCGCTGTCCGTAGACACTCCCGGGTCACGTGGCCAGCATGACAAGCTGCATCTGGCGAGCCAGCGCAGCACACGGAACACCGTTTACCTTCCCTAAGCGGTCCCTATTTATCTACTTGCACTCGGAGGTGCTTTCGAACTGCTAGGTTGGCAGGCTCTGGGACCGAACGACGGGAGCGCACCCTGCCGCGGGGATTCGAACCGCCGACCATGCGATCGGCAAGTCCTAGGTGCTGAGGCTTTAACCCACAGCGCCACCCGCGTCCCTCTCAAGTCTTGTAGATGCGCCCCAAAGCATTAAGACAGAGCAAAGTGTGGGGAGGAAGAGGCTGCTGGGTGTGTGTGTGTGTGTGTGTCTGAACTCTTTTGCAACAATGCCCCTTGATCAAATTATTCTATGTAGAAAGCCTATTAGCATTTGGAATTTCTCTCAAGCACACTACACGCCCCCCCCCCGCTTTTCCAGGCTCTTCCTTGGTTTGGGTTTGTTACAGGCCTCTCCCCCAAAACTCTGCCCCCTCTGTGAGGTCAAGTTCTTGATAATTTGATCACTTTTCACGGGCTTTGGCAGCTGCTTTTGTGTGGAGTTGGGGGTCTCTGTGCAGAGTGAAGTGGAGCAGAAATGAAGGGAGAGATTCTTGAATAGAAAGGGGCCTGGTTCCTAGGGCCAGACTTTAACATTGAGACTCTGCCTGCATATAAACTACCTGTTTTAACTGCTGAGACTTTTCTGTCTCTCTCTCTCTCGCCGACAACCCCCCCCCATTCCCACTCTCACCACCACCACCACCTCCCCTCCTCCAAGTTGCCTGAATGGTTAACATTCATAAAGGATTCTTTACCTCCACTGCAAACCCCAGAGTTGAAACATAATATGTATTACAATGTCTAGCAAATAAAAAAGCAATTGGGGAAATCTGCATTCCGTTCCCATGGCAACGCAAAGCACAGCGCTAGCTCGGCCTAGTCTCTCACTCCTGGCACATTTTAGCCACCAATTTGAGGCAAATAAGTGCTTTTTGCCTGATTTGGTTGGAAGCAACTCTCGGTCCCCCGTCCCCCCCGCCAACCTTAAACCATGGAAAAAAATTCACAAAAGATCACTATAATTCTTTCAGGAGCTGACTCCCTAGTTGGTGGATGTTGTTGACAGTCATTCCTCCCCACCACCACCACCAACAGAAAGACATCAACAATGTTTAGAAAGGTCCAGGGAATAGAGGTCTCCCCATTCCCCCCCCCCATTGAGGGTTTGATACACTGCTTAGTATTACTAATCAATTAATTTAATTAAGTAGGTGCGTTAATTACTCACCTTTCAGTTGAAGGTCTCGGAGCAGGTTACCTAGTTTAAAAGAAAAAAACACAACCCAGTAAAATATAATATGCAAATGGCACAACCTGGCATTTTTTATTTATTGCATCTATCTATCTCTATCTCCCCTTTCTGCAAAGGCACCCAAGGCAGTTTAACACTTTAAAATACTAAAACAAAATATAAATCTGGACCTGTGACTTGTGGTGTGGAATGGGATGGGGACACGGTAGTCTCATTGCAGCAGGCTGTGATCTAGCCTTTGCCTGCCTCCCTTGCTCTTATCTACCTTCCCACAGGGCTGTTGGTGCTGGTTGGTGTTCCCATCATAACCAGTACAGATAAGCAACAATTTAATTCCTCAGACCTTAACAGCAACAGCTTCTCAATTTGTGGGACGCAAGCCATTGGGGCAGCATAAAGCATGCAGGGGTTCCTTCCTTTCTCCATCACCTGTTATGAACTTGGTAGTGCGTGTGTGTGTGTATTTGAGAGAGACAAAGACATGTATCTGAAAGAAGGAAGCTCAGGTAGAGGTACTATTTTGCTCTTATAAGACTAGCCAAGTCAGGGCGTTCATCCATCTAGCTCATCATGGTCTATGCTAGAGGTAGCCGACATGGTGCCCTCCACATGTTGGGTTAAACTCCCATCAGTCCCAGC